CCCCGAGAAACAGCCCTTTCAGCCTTGCTGATTCCAGCCTCAGCAATCTCTGCTCCACTTCCCTCCTCCTATCCCTCCAGGCCCCCTGACCTTGTTAAGCAGCAACTCATCCTGAAGTTTCTTCATGTTGGCGATCTCCTCGCTGAGTGAGTTCTGTGGGGACAAGTGTGAAGTGAGGGAGTGGGCCTAAAAGGGACTTTCTCTAGGAGCTGCAAGCAGCCGGCAGCAAACAGAGACAGGCCTGAGGGGACCCAGGAGGAATGGGGTGGGCACAAATAGAGTTGCAAGGGAGTGGGGGTAACGGGGCCAAAGATGCATCTAAAGAAAGAAATCCAGAGGATTCAGGGTTTGAGGGTCCATAGGGTTGGTGGTTTTGGGAAATGCCAAGGATTCAGGGTACAGATGCCCCCAGAATTCAGCTCTTGGCTGTTTAGACCAGGTGAAAAAGTGGTCTTAGCAATACGGCACAGAAGTCTATTGAATTCGTCATGCCCAGACTTAGGGAGATAACAGATCTGGGGGAAAGTTCTGGAGCCTCAGGATTCCAGCAAGAGGTAGTGCAGGATTTCTGGTTTTCGCAGTCCTAAGTACGGGTGCACCTTCTCCTCCAGCGCCCCCATTCGCTCCTTGAGGTGAAGCTGTAACCGCTCGTTGGACTCGCTCAGTAGCTTGTCCACTGTCTCGGACAGTCGCTTATTGTGGTCATCATTCATCTTCTCCCGCTGCCGTGCCTGCCCAAAGGAGAGCAGGGCAGGGGTGCTCAAGCCCATGTGGCGCAAAACACGGCCCCTGCTCCAAGCCCGCCCCGCCTCGCCCCTTCAATATCAGCGGCACTCCCAGCCTCTTTGCAGTCTTCGGCCTCCTCACCCGCTGCAGCTCCTGGTTCTTCTCCTCCAACTGGGCCTCCAGCTGCCGAAGCCGCTCCTCAAAGTTCCCATGACGCTCTTCAGCCTAGCGGATGGAACCCATGGCATCGGACTGTACCCCGCCAGAAAACAGTCAGGGTCCAGGCCCCGCCGCCTTCAAAGATGGGTGCCAGGCCCCACCCTCAGAACTCCTCCCCTGCACCTGTGATTCAGGCCCTGTCCCGGTGTCTAGTTTACTTTCTCAAGACCTTTTCTACCCCTTTCAGTCCAAACTAGAGAACACCAACCTCTCCCCAAACTCCAGGCCCTGCCCCATAGCAAGCCCCGCCCTTTCCCCCAGAATCCTGGCTGCAGGTCTTGCTCCAACCCCTCCAGACTCAAGGCCCAGTTCCTGTCCCCAGTAGACTGAAGGTACCCCTCCTCTAGGCCCCAGCCCCCAAACGCACCCACCCATACCCCCGACCCGAGGCCCCCCTCACCTTGCTGAGCGCCGCCACGCGCTGGGCCAGCTGCGCCTCTATCTCGGGCAAGGTCTCTGCCTTCTGCAGCGTCTGCTGCAGCTTCTGCTTGGCGTCGTCCAGCCACTCGGCCAGTTGACGGCTCTTCTCTTCACTCTGGGGGAGGGCAAGGCAGGGGAGAAGAGGAGTTAGGTCGCGCGGGCCACAGCCCTAGCCGCATCGCCCTTTCCCAGGTGCATCCCCACCTGCCGGTACAGCGACTCCTTGCTGGCCAACTCATTCTCCAGCTTGTCGTTGGCGTCGTGCAGAGACGTGGCCTCGCGCTGGGCGCTCAGGTAGCGCTTCTCCAGCGTTGTGATCCGCTCCTCCATATCCTCCCGCTGCGCCAGGGCCTGCGGAAGTGGCAAAGGGCCATGTTAACTACAGCTCCCAGAAGCCCCTGTGGTAGCCTCGGCTTAGAACCCCAGATGAGGCACCCCAGGGTATCCTGGGAAATGAAGTCCCCTGCCACCTGGGCATCAGAATGGTGGTACACCTGCCAAGAGCTCCCGGGACTAGCCCACCTTAAGTCCCCTGCTACCTGAAAGTTAAAATGGTGGTGCTACACCTCCCATGAACTTCTAGGGCAGTATTGGCTTAGATCCTCCCCATACAGATGACCTAAGACCCATGGGATGGGAAGGCTCCACTCCAGCCACTCTCCTCAAAAACTCCAGGCCTTAGGTTTCTCAGCAACTTCCGGCACAGCACAGGCTTAGAATCACAGAGCAAGTGCCCTAGGGTCTCATAACCCTAACCTCCCAAGAGCCACCAAGGTAGCACAGGCTTAGAAGAGGTGCTCCAGGGTTTCATGGGAGATGGACTTCCGGCCATGAGCTGTGTGCTGGGACCACACTTTCCAGCAGCTCCCGCAGCCATCCAGGCTTAAAATCCAAGATGAAGGCCCTAGTGGATGATGAGAAATAAAGTACTCGCTCTCCTTTCTCATCCACTGCCTTCAAGAATCCAGGCCCTACATTTCCCAGAAGCTCCCTAGGGCAGGGGGATTAGGATCAAAGGCCCTAAGCCAGGAAGGGGTGATATACCAATGAAAGATTCAATTTAGAGACACAAGAGAATGTCCCGATGGGAACGTAATAACTAGAACCACTTACTGAGCAACTACTATGTGCCACTTCTAAGCTATCCCTCTGATACGGGCCATACATTCCATTTGAGGAAACAAATTCAGAGAGGGGGAATCCACACAGCTCGTGGATTGAATCCAGGTTCCAACTTTCAGGAGCTCTGTGACTCTGTGATTCTGAGCAGAGGGTTACGGGGAGGGAAGAGACAGAGGGCAGCCCACCAAGGGCTCCAGCCTCACCTCCTTGAGGTCGCGCTGCAGCTTGGAGTTAGCTTCCTCGGCCTTACCCAGCTCGCGGTGAGCGGTGCCCAGCTCCTCCTCCAGCTGGCTCATCTGACGGCACAGCACCGCCAGGCGCTCCCGCAGCTGGCACACCTCTGCACGTTGCCTCTCCAGGGCCTCCTCCAGCTCCGTTGTACGCCGGTTTGAATCCCCACCAGGACCCAGGCCATTGGCAAGGGTCTGGAGAGAGGGAGGAAGTGACACAACCGAGGGTGAGGAGCACAGTCTCATAGAGGGAATGCAAGGAGAAAGTTGATCAGCTGAGGTGGTGGTGGGGATCAAATATAGATAGGGATCGTGCAGGTCACAGTCCACAGGGGTCAGCGAGCTAACAGAAGTTAGCTAGGTGACCTGAATCAGAGGTCAAAGGCCAGTAAGGGGCTAACGGGTTCAGATGTCCTAGGGTCAGTGAGGATCATACCAAACAATACGATCATTACAAAGGGGGCTCAGTGGAGGTCACAGTGAAGGGACTTCCACCTCTCACCTGCCCGTCCCCATCCTTGCCCAGCTCTTCCAGCCCCGAACGCCGCCTAGACAGCTGCTCTCGAAGGCTCAGAGTCTGGAAGAGTGAAAGGGGGACAAGAGAAAAGGGGGTCCCGAAACCCCCAGCTCTACTTCCCACTGGTACTGGCCCTCTAAGGGGATAGGTGCCCCCATCTAAGATGACTTCGGTCCTGTTGGGGCCACCCTTACCCCACTACACTTAGTGGGGTCTACACTTAGACACGATACCCTCATTATCTCTCTCCTTAGCTGCCCCCCATTGAGGGAGTTTGCCCTGACTCCCACCCTTAGCCTTCTTGTGGAGATTTCCTCTTTGGCCTCGCCTTTCCCCATCCAACCATTTCCTCCTTAGTCCCAGCCCGAGCCCAGCCCCTGATTCTCACCTCAGTCTCACTGTCCCTGGGAGGTTCTCCCCTTAGCTCTGCATAATGAGCTTCTACTCTGGAACCCCACTGACTTCTCCCCCTAGTCTCCATATGGATTGAACCTCCCTGTCTTGGCCGCGTCCCCACCTCCTGATTGCTCAGCTCCAGCTCCTCCTCTAGCACTGCCACTCGTTCCAGCGCCATCCGCAGCCGCTCCCGAACCTGGCAAAAGGGGCAGGGCGGGAGTGACATAGAGACCAGACCCAATCTAGACAGTTATCCTGGGCCCAGAACACCCCTGGGACAGGTCTAATAAAGCAAGGTAAGAAGTCTTCTCTCTGTAATGGGTGTGCAGCCCCAACCAGCTACCCAGACAGTCCCACCCACTGGTAGCCTCCATCCTAGTTCCTTCTTCTATTATCAAACATTCGGGTCCCAATCCGCGTCCATAGCTTGTTCCAATCAATCACAGTCAACATTCTTCTCACTTAGGACATCCCCAGCCAATCACAAACAGAATCTCTCATACTCAGGGCAGCCCCAGTCAACCACGGATTTCCATTCTTCAAGCTGGCTCTTCCAATTCTCATACCTTCTCATCCAGGGCCTTGTGGTGCTCGAAAAGAGATTTTAGAGCCTTGAGCACCTCCACTTCGGAGGAGACTCCGCCCGGGGACTGGGCCTGGCGCTTCACCACAGTCATGCGCAGCGACCTCTCGTGCCTGGACACCAGGCATTCCAGGTGTTCCAGGAGGAGCTACAGGGATAGGGCACCGGGTCAAGGAAAAGAGGCAAGGGAAAAGGGGCAGAGTCGAGGAAGAGGGCGATAGATGGAAGGACACATGGAGGAAGAGTTGGCGCCAAGCAAAGGGGCACCGAAAGAGACAGGTCAGGAAGAGAGAGGGGGATGGCAGAGGTAGGATCGGAGTGAGGAAACAAACAGCACGGGAAGAGAAAGGTTTTGGAGACAGGGGAGAGGATACGGAGGAAACAGTGGCACCAGAGGAGGGGACCAGCCAGGAAGTGAAAGCAGGGACGAAGGGAGGACAGGAAGGAGAGATGAGCAAAGACCGCGACCCCGCCCCCCTGAGGCCCCGCCCCAGCGCCCCTCACCCGCGTGTTGTTCCGCTCCGCCTTCAGCTCTGCAATCTCTTCTTCCCTCTCCAGCAGCTGCTCCCGACATAAGTTCAGCTCCTTCGTCAGAGCCGCAAACTCCTGTTCAGGCGCGTGCAGGATCGGGACAGTCAGGTCACTTATTTCCTTATCTCCCTCATTCCACGGGATTGAGAGTTTGAAGGCTCCGCCCCTCCCGCTAAGCCCCGCCCCTTGTTCCCCTCAAGCCACGCCCACCGACGACACGCCTCCCCC